TGGTTCCAATTCTTGGCTATTGTAAACAGTGCTGCAATAAACATGGGAGTACAGATATCCCTATGATATGATGATTTCCATTCCTCTGGGTATATTCCCAGCAGTGGGATAGCTGGGTCATATGATAGATCTATCTGCAATTGTTTGAGGAACCTCCATACCATTTTCCATAGAGGCTGCACCATTTTGCAGTCCCACCAACAATATATGAGAGTTCCTTTTGCTCTGCAACCTCGCCAGCATCTATCGTTCACAGTCTTTTGAATATTAGCCATCGTAACTGGGGTGAGATGGTATCTCAGTGTGGTTTTGATTTGCATTTCCCTAATGCTAGAGTGATGTTGAGCATTTTTTCATGTGTCTATTGGCCATTCATATATCCTCCTTTGAGAAATGCCTATTCAGCTCCTTTGCCCATTTCTTAACTGGGTTACTAGTTTTTTACTGTTAAGTTGTTTGAGTTCCTTGTATATATTCTGGATATTAATCCTTTGTCAGATGTATATTTTGCAAATATTTTCTCCCACTCTGTTGGTCATCTTTTCACTCTGTTAATTGTTTCTTTTGCTGTGCAGAAGCTATTTAGTTTGATATAATCCCATTTGTTTATTTTTCCTTTGGTTGCCTGTGCTTTTGGGGTTGTATACATGAAGTCTGTACCAATTCCTACTTCCTGGAGTGTTTCCCCTATATTTTCTTTGAGGGATTTCATTGTTTCATGATGTATACTTAATTCTTTAATCCATTTTGAGTTGAGTTTTGGTATATGGTGACAGGTATGGGTCTAGTTTCATCATCCTATTTATGAATATCCCAGCACTATTTGTTGAAGAGGCAGTCTCTTCTCCAGTGTGTAGACTTGTTGCCTTTGTCAAAGATCAGATGGCTGTAGGTGTATGGATTGATCTCTTGATTCTCTATTCTGTTCCATTGGTCCATGTGTCTCTTTTATGCCAGTACCATACTGCTTTGGTTACTATAGCTTTGTAGTACAGTTTAAGGTCAGGTAGTGTTATGTCTCTGGCTTTATTTTTTGCTCAGGATTGCTTTGGCTATTCATGGTCTTTTGTTATTCCATATGAATGTTAGAATTTTTTTTCCATTTCTGAGAGGAATGTCATTGAAATTTTGGTAGGGATTTCATTGTGTCTGTAGATTACTTTGGGTACTATGAATGTTTTCACAATGTTAATTCTTTCCAACCAAGAGCATGGGATATCTTTCCCTCTTCTTGTGTCCTCTTTAATTTCTCTCAACAGTGGCTTGTAGTCCTCATCACAGACATTTTTCAAATCCTTTGTCAAATTTTTTCCTAGGTATTTTCTTGGTCACTACTGTAAATGGGCTAGCTTTCTTGATTTCTTATTCTGCTAGTTCATTATTGGATTATAAAAATGCTACTGATTTTTGCACATTGACATTGTATCCTGCAACTTTGCTGAAATTGTTTATCAACTCTAAGAGTTTTTATTAGAGTCTTTAGGCTGTTCTATATATAGGATCATATCTGCAAACAGGCACAATTTAGCTTCATCTTTTCCAATCTGGATTTTTCTTTATTTCTTTCCCTTCCCTGATTGTTCTGATTAGTACTTCCAACACTATGTTGAATAGGAGTGGCAAGAGTGGGCATCCTTTTCTTGTTCCTGCTCTTAAGGGAAAAGCTTTCAACTCTTCCCCATTCAGGATGATATTGGCAGTGGGTTTGTCATATATTGCTTTAATTGTGTTGAAATACTTTTCCTTCTATACCCAATTTATAGAGAGTCTTTATCATGAAGAAATGGTGAATTTTGTCAAATGCTTTTTCAGCATCTATAGAGATGATCATATGGTTTTTGTCTTTGACTTTATTGATGTGTTGTATCATATTTATTGATTTGCATATGTTGAACCAACCTTGCATCCCTGGGATGAATCCCACTTGATCGTGGTGTATAGTTTTAGGTATGTGTTGCTTTATTCTACTAGCTAGTATTTTATTGAGAATTTTTGATCTATATTCATCAAGGATGTTGGCCTGTAGATTTCTTTCTTTGTTGTATCTTTGTCTGGTTTTGGCATCAGGATGATGTGTGCCTCATAGAATGAATTTGGGAGAATAGTCACTGTTTCAATTATTTGGAATAGTTTGTAGAGAATTGGTAATAATTTTTCTTTGAAGGTTTGGTAGAATTCTGCAGTGAAGCCATCCAGTCCTGGGCTTTTCTTTGTTGGGAGACTCATGATAACAGCTTCAATTTACTCATCTGTTAAGGTTTTCTTTGTCTTCTTGGCTTAGTCTTGGTAGTACATGTGTGTCCAGAAATTTATCCATTTCCTCCAGATTTTCAAATTTGTTGGTGTATAGTCTCTAATGGTTCCTCCTATTTATGAGGTATCATTTGTAATATCACCGTTTTCATTTCTATTTGTTTTATTTGTTTCTTCTCTCTTCTTTTTTTTTGGTTAGCCTTGCTAGTGGTTTGTCAATTTTATTTATCTTTTCAAAATACCAACTTTTTGTTTCATTGACCTTTTGTATCATTTTTTGGTTTTCTATTTCGTTTAGTTCTGCTCTTATCTTCATTATTTCTTTCCATCTACTAACCTTGGGTTTGGATTGTTCTTGTTTTT